AGATGCTTGTGGACTACAGGAAAAAAAAAGAGGACTGAGCACGCCCCCATTCTCATCGACGGGGCTGTAGTGGAACAGGTTGAGAGCTTCAAGTTCCTTGGTGTCAACATCACCAACAAACTATCATGGTCCAAACACACCAAGACAGTCGTGAAGAGGGCACGACAAAGCCTATTCCCCCTCAGGAGACTGAAAAGGTTTGGCATGGGTCCTCAAATCCTCAAAAAGTTATACAGCTGTACCATCGAGAGCATCCTGACTGGTTGCATCACCGCCTGGTATGGCAATTGCTCAGCCTCCAACCGCAAGGCACTACAGAGGGTAGTGTGTACGGCCCAGTACATCACTGGGGCCAAGCTTCCTGCCATCCAAGACCTCTATACCAGGCGGTGTCAGAGGAAGGCCCTCAAAATGGTCAAAGACTCCAGCCACCCTAGTCATAGACTGTTCTCTCTGCTACCGCACGGCAAGCGGTACCGGAGCGCCAAGTCTAGGTCCAAAAGGCTTCTCAACAGCTTCTACCCCCAAGCCATAAGACTCCTGAACAGCTAATCATGGCTACCCGGACCATTTGCACCCCCACCCCATCTTTTTACGCTGCTGCTACTCTGTTAATTATTTATGCATAGTCACTTTAACTCTACCCACATGTACATATTACCTCAACTACCTCAACTAGCCGGTGCCCCCGCACATTGACTCTGCACCGGTACCCCCCCCTGTATATAGCCTCCCTACTGTTATTTTATTTTACTTCTGCTCTTTTTTTCTCAACACTATTTTACTTTTTTATTAAGAAATAAATGCATTGTTGGTTAAGGGCTGTAAGTAAGCATTTCACGGTAATGTCTACACCTGTTGTATTCGCCGCATGTGGCAAATAACATTTGATTTGATTTAGTTGCACACAATGGCCAGACATCTTAAAAATATTGTCTACTGTTTTTTCCCCAGACACTGCTAGTAGTACTCACTCCAAAAAGAGGGCAAAGAAGACCAAAATCGAGGTGGCCTCTGAGGTGATGGTGGAAAAGTTTGCAGCCTGCAGGGAGTCCATGGACCAGGCCTACCGAGAACAAGTCATGTAGCTCAGTCTCCTGCATAGAATCCGTGAGGAAAAGATACAGGGGAGGCCCAGGTAGAGAATCACACCTGGCAGGGGGAATTGCAAGCCTCACAGGAAAGAATGTTCCTGCGACCTCGCCAACCAAATGTTGCAGCAGCCTTTGGTACAGCCACCCTACAGCAGTGGGAACAATTACCACGGACGGTCAACCTCGGGTGCAATGAATGGCAGGTACACTTTGCCATACAGCACACCTAGGCGCAAATTAAGAGTAGGACTTGGCCTTCACCCCTCCATCCACATACCAGAACCTGTCGTAACAGCAGTATTTTTGTATAAAAATAAATAAATAAATAACAATATGAATGGCCACTCCAATCGTGGGTGCGCTCGCCCTCACCCGTCCTGAGACAGTGGGAAGGACTAAGCCCCGCCCTGGCGGGCATGGATGCGAGCACACCCATAACCACCAGGACCAGCACACACACCGCTCACAGCGTGAAACTAAAACACAAAAAATAAACAACAAAACATACAATAATCACATCCCCACCCACACCCCTGATTGGAGGACCTCAAACATTTATACTGTGGATGTGTTTATTCCAACACTTATTAATTCCAACCTTCAGACAGCCACAGATCAACCCATCTTTCCCAGTAAATCATAATTCTACCATTTCCTCTTGTAATAGATCTATCCATTCTACCATGGTGTCTCACTAGGGACTTGAACCTCCCCATCTGCAACATTCCTGCTGAAATTGCCCTGAAAATAAACATTTTACCCTACAACACAATTATATTTCCTAATGACTCCCCCAACAATACAGTTTGCAGGTCCAACCGTACCCTGATATTTCCTTGTGGCAGAGTCTGCACCGGTCTGGTTGTTCAATGGCCCATATACTGAGCATTCTTTTTGTAGCAAGAATTTTATATAATAACATAACTTGAAAATAATGAATTGATGCGTCAATTGTTGTTTTGTATATTAGTTCATAAAACTGATACCATGGTATTGGGATATCGAAAATCTGTTACCAACCATCTTGAATTTTATGCGGCATAGTTGTCAACCCTCTTGACCATAAGCGAAACTGATACATTTTACGATTTATATTAGTCATTTTAAGCCATTTATTTTTAATTGGTGGCAGACTAACTAATAAATTCCTTTCTCTTTTAAGTAATTGTCTCTCCCATTTTTGTGGCACAGCCTTCGATGAGTTGGTTTTAATGTTGTATTGAGCATACATCTCCATACACCTGGATTAATTGCTTGTGTGACAATTATACCGTTGTTGTTTACAGTGTAATTCATAATCATGATACCATGAAGAAAAGTGGGTTAACCTCTATCAGTACAATGGATTTTAGCCATACACTCTTAGAAAAAAAGGTACTTTCTGGAACCTAAAAGGGTTCTTCGGCTGTCCCCATAGGAGAACAAATCAATTGGTAGAGCATGGCGCTTGTAACGCCAGGGTAGTGTGTTCAATCCCCGGGACCACACATACGTAAAAATGTGTGCACACATGACTGTAAGTCGCTTTGGATAAAAGCGTCTGCTAAATGGCATATTAATTCATATTAACAAACCCTTTGAAGAACCCATTTTGGTTCCAGGTAGAACCCTTTTGGGATCCATGTATTGTAGTTACCTTTCCACAGAGAGTTCTACATGGAACCCAAAATGGTTCTACCTGAAACCAAAAAGGGTTCTTCTATGGGGACAGCTGAAGAACCCTTTTGGAACCCTTTTTTTGTGTGTATTATTTGCTATAATATATGTTCTGCCTCTTCTGGCAGATTAGATTTGGAATTGTAGCCAACTCTGTATAGCTACATTTTAAAATAAGGGTATTTAAACAGGGTTCCATTGTCAATCCATCGGAAATGGATTGTTTTAATCTATATAACAGCAAAGTGCCCCCTTTTAAACATAGGATGATCCTCTCTGGTCGTGTCTAGACTTGATAGTTCATGCAGCTTTAGTATTCTGGTCATGGAATTCCGAACAACTCATGCTTCTACACCTACATTTAAATGTGTCCACAGTGTGTCCGGATTCCTTTTTCCCGCGCTATATTCAAATGCCAGTATGCATAATATGATAACACAACAACAACTGATGGCAGCAACTAACTACTGTAGCTAACTAGCCAGATAACCTCTGTAGGTTAGCATAACTCTAGCCAAAAAATAATAATCGTTTTTCTAAATATTAGCTAGCTGGCTAGCATTTATGAGGCCAGCTAGGACCGTCATTTACTCCAATGTTATAATGAAAAGGTGCCTATCGGTCCCAACATATCGGGGACCCGACATAATCTTGAGTGTCAACAAATCTGCCCAATTAACTGATTCGCTTTCCATACACCCACTTCTGTTGAGCCTCTCACTTCTGTTGACACGCCCACTTCCAGACACGCTCCACTAATGCAGTTACACATTACTCGATTATCCGCGGAGTTGGGAATCTCTCTTCCTCTTCTTCTCTTTTCCATGCCGTAGACAAGGCTATTCTCGAACGTGCAACAGAGCAGCACTTGCGTGGCGGTAGCAAACATAAAAGACCGCTTGATGGATATTCTCATATCTTACCAACTCTAGTGCATTTTACAGTTAGTGAGAAGACGTCGGAAAACATCATGAATGGCTTTATTATAATTAACTATCGACAGAGGATATAATTAAATAGCACGCTCCTGTTTTGCTGAATGCTTCCATTATTTGCATGTTAACGTCAGGTGGATGATTGTTAATTTGGAATGAGCTAACTAAGCCTGTAACGGGATGGATAACATTGTAGTACTTATACATGTGTTTTGAAATGCATTTGACGTAGCAGGCCGTTTGATAATTTTACAGCGCAAATCCACGAAAATAGTTTTATAGATAACGCACAGTTATGTGTGCATGACAGAACGACGAAGAGGGACGTATTGTAGTGGTACACATTTCCTGTTTCCTAGCAACGAGCAGGAAGTATGTGGAATGGGATGGAAGAAAAAAGAATCGAAGAAGACTGGTCTTTTAGGAATAGAAAAAACTTTGTGGTGAGTAAAAACAAAGTGATGGATTTAAATACCATACATTAGAAACTCCAGAATATATTTGGCTGGACGCACGAATCATATAGATGGTAAGACAGGGTATCGCTTTTTTGATGCAATGTTTGTTTAGCTAACGTTAGCTAGCGAAGCATGATGATGCTAATCGTTACTTGCTAGCTAGCGGCTTGTATCCAGCATTGGATTGTTCGCAAACCAACGGATAACATTTCCATAATTGTGCGTGTTTTTAAGTAACATACTAAATGTAGCGAATGGAATTCAACCATTTGAAGTTTTACGTTGTTTTGACCGAGGTGTTGTTTCCCCACATTATTGACATAGCTAGGCGGCTAGCTGTCGCGCTAGGGTATTGTGACACAATATAACGTTAGCTAGCCACCTTCAACTTGAATCGGGCAAAATCTATCTAGACAGAGCTAGCCAAAAAGTAACAAACTAAATTCTGATTTATTATACATTTGATTTGCATGTAAATAACGAGGACATTTGCCACTCATTTCACGTGACTATTATGACATTTTATGTCGCTAGGCCAAGACAGGAAAAGTATTGCCACTGTACACAATAATGAAGGGCACAATTGTCATGTTGCGTTACTTGACTGAACATATTAATAATAATATAATATGCCATTTAGCAGACTATAGATTAAACCGATATTTGAGCTGAGTTTTAAAAAAGCATGCCGAATTTAGATATATGCCTAGTTTATTAGCCATATTTTGCATAAAGGTTTGTACCCATCGTATTAGTAGGCCTATTGTCCATGATTATCCCATAGATAAATAAATAATACAGTGACTGCAAATGATGACAAATAACCAAATATGTTATCTATTTTTTCCACAGCCCTCATGGTGTACCTGCATCATTTCTACTACAGAAAGTAAATGTAATATTCAATGGAGTGGTACTAAATTATCAGATTCCATTCTTGTGCAGCCTTCCTATTTGGACCATACAATGGATGTAAGCTGTTGTGATATGGAGGAGCTGGGAATCTGATGTATTTTCCCCACAATTATCTAGCTCAAATATTTACAGTACTATCCTGTAATGGCTATGCAAGAGCCTGGCAGGACCAAAGGCTTCCCTTGCAAACACTGTGGCATAGTGTGCTCCAACATGCCAAGCCTTCTGGAACACATGGATAGTCACTTCCAGCAAGAGGAAGATCGCAAGTTCAAATGCGATGAATGTGGGCGGTGCTACAGGCATGCAGGTAGCTTGGCTAACCACAAGAAAACACACGAGTTGGGTTCTTTTCAATGTCCAATATGTGCTAGGAAGCTCTCAAACCCTCTGGCCCTGAAAAGCCATCTGCGCATCCACACATCACAGAAGAAGTACTCCTGCATGGACTGTGGGAAGGCCTTTAGGTTAGCTACTCAGCTGGCCACCCATCAAAAGGTCCATCTCTCCAGGCAATCAAAGAGGAGTGCCGCTGCAGAATATTCTCCAATTGAGAATAGAGATGAAATTGAGGATAATGATGACCTTGATAAGCAGTCGGTCTTGGTGGCTGACCAGGAAGACACAAGGATGGATATTATGTCTGATAATAGCCTTAGCCAGGAGGAGGCAGAGGTTATCCCCAACTCAGCAAATGATAGTGAAAACCTAGGCTTCAAAGCAGGGGATCGACCTTTCAAATGTGATCAGTGTGAAAAGTCATATAGACACCATGGAAGCCTGATCAATCATAAGAAGTCTCACCAGGTAGGGATGTTTGAGTGCCCTGTCTGTTTCAAGCAGTTCAATAATCTTGCTGCCCTCCATAGTCACCAGAGAACCCACAACAAGTCCAGAAGTGGGCCAGACACCCGTTCCATGGAAGTCACTTACGCAGGCACAACACCAGAGCAGTTTTCACCCCTGAACAGGGAGGCTCCAGTCCATTTCTGCCACCTGTGTCAAGTGATGTTTCCTAATGATGATGAGTTCCAGGAACACATCCAAATGCATAATTCTTCCTCTATGTCGTTTGGGCACAATCAAGGTTTATCTGAGGATCATCATGTCTCTTATGACCTTAGTGTCACTCCTTCTCCTGACTCAAACTTTTATTCACCACCTCTAAACAATACTCCATCAATGGATCATCAGGGGGAGCAGATCAATGATATTCAAAAATACTCTGACCACTCCAGTAACGAATCCACCTTAAATACTCAGGGAAACCCCTTAATCTTGGATTCAGAGATTTCTGCTGACGATCTAAGTAAGGCAGAGCAGTCCTCAGTTACAGAAAACGGTGAGCGCCGCTTCAAGTGCCAGGTCTGTGGCAAAAGCTACCGGCATGCAGGGAGTCTCATCAACCACAAGCGTTCTCATCAGACGGGCATTTACCAGTGTTCCATCTGCCGCAAGACTTACCCACACATGGCTGCCCTCCACAGCCATGTCCGCATCCACAGGGCCCATTCGTCCTCCTTCAACCTCGGTTCTGAAGGAGACTGGCTCTCTTCTGAGCCCCTAACGCTGGAGAACCAGCAGGCCTGCTTTTCCTCTCAGGAGGGTGATGCTAGCAGTATGATGACTCTCGCTCAGGAGAACACGAGTGAACAAGGCAATGGAGGATCATGCCATGTGCAGTTTGACTCCGCCTTTCCCCAGGACAGAACTGTGCACCTACCTCACAACGAACACCTGATGGAGAGTCACATGTGCGCAGACTGTGGTGAAACATTTGCAGACATCGCAGGAATCAAGTCGCACATATGCCCCCTGCTACAACAGCAGCAAGATGCCGTGTCAAATGACTATGACAGTAACTTAACCTTCCTGGACACTAATGGCCAATGCACCATGGGAAATCCAGGAGATCATATAGAGTTCCAGGGACTGAGTGGCAGCCCTAGACAAAGGTACTTTGGTGAACACAACTTCCATGAAGGCCTGAATGGGGAGCAGTTAAATGGTGGTGATGGCAAAGATGAAGAGGATGATGACGGAGAGCTCTATCAGTGCTCGGCGTGTGGGAACCGCTACACAAGCATGAGGGCTCTGAGGAGCCATCTTCGTGGCCACACTCAATCCCATGGTACTCCTACAAGCTCCGGCCCCTCCTCCATGTCCTCCCTAGAGGCTGAAAAAGAAGAGGACCCTGGCGAGAGACAGCAGATGGATGGGGGTCTGATGATCTGCAGTACTTGCGGAGAGAGTTTTGCCAAGAAGCAGGACATGCTTGCCCATCAGCTCTTACACAATAAAGCACAGGCAGATGATGCTAAACACGTACATATGGACAATAGTGATGGAATTAGGCACAAAGAGGAGGTGGACAGCATAATCTGTGGACATTGTGGTATATTTTGCACCAGTTACCATCATCTTGAGACCCATCAATGTACAACAAATGGGAAAAGTGAATCTGCAAACTGTGTTGAAAAAACCGAAATGGGCGACTCTGTCAACAGTAAAGAATTAGGACACATGAAAGAGAATTTAAACAATGGAGATCGCCAGTACAAGTGTGATCAGTGTGGAAGACTATACAGACATGCTGGCTCCCTTCTCAACCATAAAAAGTCCCACAAAACGGGAGTATTCCGCTGCATGGTTTGCCAGAAGCGCTTCTACAATCTACTGGCCCTTAAGAACCATCAGAGGACCCACTTTGATGTTAAGAGGTAATTTCTAAACCTAATTGCTAACACAGAGAAATAAATAAGCAGAGAACCTATAGTGTATTAAACATGCGGGAGATGCAATTAATTGTACTATTACATTTCAAGGTTTAGGTTATTGCATTGTCCATGAAGAGAATTACCCAGTGCTTGTAAACTAATCCAAGGATACACTGCCTGTACAATTGGTATTGTCTACATTCAGGGCTCTAAATTAACATGTTTCATTGGTAGCACAAGTTAGGAGCACAACATACAATCTAGGAGCACCAGAAGATAGATAGAGACATATTTGTTTTAATTGATTGAGATATAGCATATGAATTCTAGCTACTTTTGAAGACCTTTAATATAAAAAGCTAAAATATTGATACAAAAACCTGTTGTTGAAATTGCAAAGTCATTGGTGGAATATTATGTTTCTTCATTGTGTACTAGCTGTTGAGGTAGTCATGCGACGACATGCAATAGATCACGCGTTCATTCAGTGCTATGATCATTGATCTTCTAAAGAAGCTATCCCATTTTTTTCTTTCTGTCTGTGCACCCAAATGTTTAGATATACTGGTAAAGTAACCAGGCTGTTGGCTAGCAAGCTAATGAGGTAATATGACTGAGCAAGGTGTAAACAAATGCCTGTGAGTGGTTTTGGAACGACCCGCGACATGGTTTATGAACGGGGCCTAAAATTTAACTTTTTAGTCCACCAGCCACTGTGGCAGGTAGATGAAAAAATCTACCAGACACTCAGAATTCTTACCAGCCAATAGTATTTATCTCCATAATAACACCGAAAGCCACACACAAAAAAAAGGTTTTCTCGGTTTTGTTTTTCCAGGTTTTGGATTTTTTTTGTAGAAAAACAACAGTTGGATGTTCTAAGTCCACAACAATGCTTAAACCACACCAGGAGACCACTTTTCTTTCATTTTAATTGCTCACTTCAAGAGACTGGTGTTTGGCTGGTGGTGTTTCTGTACTGCATGCGCAGTAGCAGAGTTTGCAAAACAAAACACTACCCGATTGATACAAATCATCATGATATCATTCTGCCAGCTAAGCCTACTTTGCAGAAACATTTGAATTTGGAAACTTTAATGGGAAAGCCTCGGCATTGCTAACTGGCTACACAAAGTGGTATGTTGTTACATCTTCAGAAAGCTGCAAGAAATACAAATCACTGATGCATTCTTTAATATTATTTACATGTAGGCTTTGGATTGAACGAATCTGCGCTCGTTTTGTTTCTCTAATCAAATCAAATCAAATTTTATTGGTCACATGCGCCGAATACAACAGGTGCAGACATTACAGTGAAATGCTTACTTACAGCCCTTAACCAACAGTGCATTTATTTTAAACAAAAAAGTAAGAATAAAACAACAACAAAAAAGTGTTGAGAAAAAAAGAGCAGAAGTAAAATAAAGTGACAGTAGGGAGGCTATATATACAGTAAAATAAAGTGACAGTAGGGAGGCTATATATACAGGGGGGTACCGTTGCATAGTCAATGTGCGGGGGCACCGGCTAGTTGAGGTAGTTGAGGTAATATGTACATGTGGGTAGAGTTAAAGTGACTATGCATAAATACTTAACAGAGTAGCAGCAGCGTAAAAAGGATGGGGTGGGGGGGCAGTGCAAATAGTCCGGGTAGCCATGATTAGCTGTTCAGGAGTCTTATGGCTTGGGGGTAGAAGCTGTTGAGAAGTCTTTTGGACCTAGACTTGGCACTCCGGTACCGCTTGCCGTGCGGTAGCAGAGAGAACAGTCTATGACTAGGGTGGCTGGAGCACTCTGATACAACTGCACAGTGAAGCCAATCATTACAACAATTATTATCCGGGCAAATTTGTACCTGGTCGCACTGCAAAATATCCAGGAGCACTTTAGAGCTCTGTCTACATTGCAGTAATGTATTTTGTGTTTTGTCATAACTTCATTCATGCTCAAATGTTCTGTGCTTTGTAAACATAGGATTAACCTCTCTCTTTGTCTCCTCTTCTAGACATACTTGCAATGAATGTGGGAAGGCATTCAAGATACAGAAGCAGCTATTGAACCACCTAAGAATTCACAAGGAGAACCATGCCAAAATACAGGAGCTCAACAACCAGATTCAGGCCCTCATGCAGATGAATGGGACGAGGTCAGAGGGAGGAATGCACTTGTTAAATGCACCTGCCAATCAAGCCACCACCACCCACAAAAAGCGTAGGCCAACCCTCAACAGAGAGAAACCAAGCGTGGAGGAGGGGGTTGAGACTGGAGTCCAATCAGTGGAAGCAGGCGACCCTCGCCCCTACTCCTGTGACCAATGTGGGCGAACGTATCGGCACGCAGGAAGTCTGGTCAACCACAAGAACTCCCACAAGACCGGTGAATACTACTGCTCTGTTTGTAACAACACCTACTCCAACCAACTGGCTATGAAGAACCACCTGCGCATCCACTTCTCAGTTAAAAAGCACAGTTGTCAAGACTGTGGTAAGGCCTTTAGGGGAAAGAAGCAGTTGTCTAGCCATATTTGCACACACCTCAGAAAGGATATGCCTGGAGGGGTCAGGGGAAGAGGTCGCAGACGAGCAAGAAACATTACATGTAATCAGTGCAGACTGACGTTTATATCTGCTGAGCAGCTGACAGCCCATACCTGTGGGTCACTGGCAAACTCATCAGAGGGCAGTGATGGACAAACGAGTATGTCCTTGAAAAGGGAGGAGCGACCATTCACCTGCATCATCTGCAATCGCAGCTACCGCCACGCAGGCAGTCTCCTGAATCATAAAAACACTCATAAGTCTGGCCACTTCAGCTGCACTTTCTGCTCCAAGCCCTTCTCTAACCCCATGGCGTTACGCAACCACACACGAATCCACACACAGAAGAAGAAGCACGTCTGCCTAACCTGCGGGAAGGCGTTTCGGCTGGCCAGTATCCTCCATAACCACCAGAAGGTCCACACCAGGGTGGCCAGCCACTTCAGCTGCCCAGAATGTGGCAAGACCTTCCAGGGCAAATCTGGGCTGAAGAGGCACCGCTGCCGGGGGGGTCAGGATGACTCGGCTAGAGCTGGTGACAGCTATCACAGAGATAGTGGAGACAAGTGCTTCACGTGAGTTACTTGTTTCATAATCAGCTCATTATGTAAGGCATGTTTCTTTTTCATGGATATTATTAGAATGATCCCCCTTTTTTTAGTCTTCTGTTTTCATGGCTTTAACACTGGAACCACTGAGCCTTGAGGGACTGCCTTCGAGCTAATGAGCAGTCATTCTGATTGCAACATTCTAACAACAGTGTAATTAATACATTTCATATATACTATGGCAAAAATAATGAAGGTTTTAGGTAACGTTAGAATATATATACAGTACCAGTCAAAAGTTTGGACACCTACTCATTCCAGGGTTTTCTTTATTTTTGTACTATTTTCTACATTGTAGAATAATAGTGAAGACATCAAAACTATGAAATAACACATATGGAATCATGTAGTAACCAAAAAAGTGTTAAACAAATCAAAATATATTTTATATTTTGAGATTCTTCAAAGTAGCCACCCTTTGCCTTAATGACAGTGTTGCACACTCTTGGCATTCTCTCAACCAGCTTCACCTGGAATGCTTTTCCAACAGTCTTGAAGGAGTTCCCACATATGCTGAGCACTTGTTGGCTGCTTTCCCTTCACTCTGCGGTCCGACTCATGCCAAACCATCTCAATTGGGTTGAGGTCCGGTGATTGTGGAGGCCAGGTCATCTGATGCAGCACTCATCACTCTCCTTCTTGGTAAAATAGCCCTTACACAGCCAGGAGGTGTGTTGGGTCATTGTCCTATTGAAAAACAAATGATAGTCCCACTAAGCGCAAACCAGATGGGATGGCGTATCGCTGCAGAATGCTGTGGTAGCCATGCTGATTAAGTGTGCCTTGAATTCTAAATAAATCACTGACAGTCTCGCCAATAAAGCACCCCCACACCATGCTTCACGGTGGGAACTACACATGCGGAGATCATTCGTTCACCTACTCTGCGTCTCACAAAGACACAGCGGTTGGAACCAGAAATCTCAAATTTGGAGTCATCAGACCAAAGGACAGATGTCCATTGCTCGTGTTTCTTGGCCCAAGCAAGTCTTCTTCTTATTGGTGTCCTTTAGTAGTGGTTTCTTTGCAGCAATTCGACCATGAAGGCCTGATCCACACAGTCTCCTCTGAACAGTAGATGTTGGGATGTGTCTGTTACTTGAACTCTGAAGTATTTATTTGGACTGCAATTTCTGAGGCTGGTAACTCTAATGAACTTATCCTCTGCAGCAGAGGTAACTCTGGGTCTTCCATTCCTGTGGTGGTCCTCATGAGAGCCAGTTTCATCATAGCGCTTGATGGTTTTTGCTACTGCACTTGAAGAAACTTTCAAAGTTCTTGACATTTTCCGGATTGACTGACCTTCATGTCTTAAAGTAATGATGGACTGTCATTTCTCTTTGCTTATTTGAGCTGTTCTTGCCATAATATGGACTTGGTCTTTTACCAAATAGGGCTATCTTCTGTATACCAACCCCTACATTGTCATAACACAACTGATTGGCTCAAACGCATTAAGAAGGAAAGAAATTCCACAAATTAACTTTTAAGAAGGCACACCTGTTAATTGAAATGTATTACAGGTGACTACCTCATGAAGCTGGTTGAAATAATGTCCAGAGTGTGCAAAGCTGTCGTCAAGGCAAAGGGTGGCTACTTTGAAGAATCTCAAATATAAAATATATTTTGATGAAACACTTTTTTGGTTACTACATGATTCAATGTACACTGCTCAAAAAAATAAAGGGAACACTCAAATAAATGAATGAAATAATCTTATTAAATACTTTTTTCTTTACCTAGTTGAATGTGCTGACAACAAAATCACACAAAAATTATCAATGGAAATCAAATTGATCAACCCATGGAGGTCTGGATTTGGAGTCACCCTCAAAATTAAAGTGGAAAACCACACTACAGGCTGATCCAACTTTGATGTAATGTCCTTAAAACAAGTCAAAATTAGGCTCAGTAGTGTGTGTGGCCTCCACGTGCCTGTATGACCTCCCTACAACGCCTGGGCATGCTCCTGATGGGGTGGCGGATGGTCTCCTGAGGGATCTCCTCCCAGACCTGGACTAAAGCATCCGCCAACTCCTGGACAGTCTGTGGTGCAACGTGGGGTTGGTGGATGGAGCGAGACATGATGTCCCAGATGTGCTCAATTGGATTCAGGTCTGGGGAACGGGCGGGCCAGTCCATAGCATCAATGCCTTCCTCTTGCAGGAACTGCTGACACACTCCAGCCACATGAGGTCTAGCATTGTCTTGCATTAGGAGGAACCCAGGGCCAACCGCACCAGCATATGTTCTCACAAGGGGTCTGAGGATCTCATCTTGGTACCTAATGGCAGTCAGGCTACCTCTGGCGAGCACATGGAGGGCTGTGCGGCCCCCCAAAGCAATGCCACCCCACACCATGACTGACCCACCGCCCAAACCGGTCATGCTGGAGGATGTTGCAGGCAGCAGAACTTTCTCCACGGCGTCTCCAGACTCTGTCACGTCTGTCACGTGTTCAGTGTGAACCTGCTTTCATCTGTGAAGAATACAGGGCGCACAGTGGCAAATTTGCCAATCTTGGTGTTCTCTGGCAAATGCCAAACGTCCTGCACGGTGTTTGGCTGTAAGCACAACCCCCACCTGTGGACGTCAGGCCCTTATACCACCCTCATGGAGTCTTTCTGTCCGTTTGAGCAGACACATGCACATTTGTGGCCTGCTGGAGGTCATTTTGCAGGGCTCTGGCAGTGCTCCTCCTTGCACAAAGGCAGAGGTAGCGGTCCTGCTGCTGGGTTGTTGCCCTCCTACAGCCTCCTTCACGTCTCCTGATGTACTGGCCTGTCTCCTGGTAGCGCCTCCATGCTCTGGACACTACGCTGACAGACACAGCAAACCTTCTTGCCACAGCTCGCATTCATGTGCCATCCTGGATGAGCTGCACTACCTGAGCCACTTGTGTGGGTTGTAGATTCCGTCTCATGCTACCACTAGAGTGAAAGCACCGCCAGCATTCAAAAGTGACCAAAACATCAGCCAGGAAGCATAGGAACTGAGAAGTGGTCTGTGGTCACCACCTGCAAAACCAGTCCTTTATTGGGGGTGTCTTGCTAATTGCCTATAATATTCCATTTGCACAACAGCATGTGAAATGTATTGTCACTCAGTGTTGCTTCCTAAGTGGACAGTTTGATTTCACAGAAGTGTGATTGACTTGGAGTTACATTGTGTTGTTTAAGTGTTCCCTTTATTTTTTTGAGCAGTGTATTATTTCATAGTTTTGATGTCTTCACTATTATTGTACAATGTAGAAAATAGTAAAAAATAAAGAAAAACCCTTGAATGAGTAGGTGTGTCTTTTGACTGGTACTGTATATACCTCTTATTCCACATTGTTGTCACAGCCTGTATTCCAAATTGATTAAATACTCTTTTTTTTTTCTCTCACCCATCTACACACAATACCCCATAATAACCTCCTGAGTGGCGCAGTGGTCTAAGGCACTGCATCGCAGTGCTAACTGTGCCACTAGAGATCCTGGTTCGAATCCAGGCTCTGTCGCAGCCGGCCGCGACCGGGAGACTCATGGGCGGCGCACAATTGGCCCAGCGTCGTCTAGGGTAGGGGAGGGAATGGCCGGCAGGGATGTAGCTCAGTTGATAGAGCATGGCGTTTGCAACGCCAGGGTTGTGGGTTCGATTCCCACGGGGGGCCAGTATAAAAAAAAAAATATATATATATATGTAATCACTAACTGTAAGTCGCTCTGGATAAGAGCGTCTGCTAAATGACTAAAATGTAAATGTAAATGACAGTGTTTGCTAATTTATTGAAAAATAAATAAATATCTAATTTACATAAGTATTCACACCCGAGTCAATACTTTGTAGAAGCACTTTTGGCGACAATCACAGCTTTGAGTCTACTTGGGTATGTCTGTATCAGCTTTGCACATCTGGATTTGGGGATTTTCTCCCATTCTTCCTTGCAGATTTGATCAAACTCTGTTAAGTTGGACGCCGAGCGGCGGTGACCAGCAATCTTCAAGTCTTTCCACAGATTTTAAATGGGATTCAAGTCTGGGCTTTGGCTGGGCCACTCAAGGACTTTCACATTATTGTTCTTAAGCCATTCCAGCATTGCTTTGGCTGTATGCTTGGGGTCATTATCCTCGTGGAAAGTATATCTTCACCCCAGTCTAAGGTCGTTTGCGCTCTGGAGCAGGTTCTCATCAAGGATTTGCCTGTATTTGGCTCCATTCATTGTTCCCTGTATCCTGACCAGTCTCCCAGCCACTGCTGCTGAAAAGCATCCCCTTAGCATAGGGTGACGAGCTGTGCCTGGCTTTCTCCAGACATAGCGCTTTGCATTCAGGCCAAAGAGTTCAATTTTAGTCTCATCAGACCACAGAAGCTTTTGCCTTATGATCGGTGTTTCACATTACTTTTTGCAAACACCAGGCGTGCTGTCATGTGCCTTTTTCTCAGGAGTGGCTTCCGTCTGGCCACTCTCCCATAAAGCCCAGATTGGTGAAGTGCTGTAGAGACTGTTGTCCTTCTAGCAGGTTCTCCCATCTCAGCCAAGGTAGTTCTGTCAGAGTGATCGTTGGGTTCTTGGTCACCTCCTTGACCAAGGTCCTTCTTGCCCGGTTGCTCAGTTTGGTTGGAAAGCCAGCTCTAGGCAGAATCTGGATAGTTCCATATTTTTTCAATTTCCCAATGATGGAGACGACTGTTCCCTTGGAAACTTTCAACACTCTAGAAATAGTTTTTTATCCTACTCCAGATATACAGTGTGCCTCATCACAATTCTATCTTGGAGATCTACGGACAGTTCCTTGGACTTCATGGTATAGTTTCTGCTCTGACATGCACTGTCAACTACAATCAAGTTGTAGTGTCATCTCAAGGATGATCAAAGGAAATTGGATGCACCTGAGCTCAATTTGAAGTGTCATAGCGAAGGGGTGTGAATACATATGTAAATTAGATATTTGTATATTTTATTTTCAATACATTTGCAAACATTTCTAAAAACATGTTTTCACTTTGTCATTATGGGGTATTGTGTGTGTGTAGATGGGTGAGAATTTTTACAAATATTTAATCAATTTTGAATTCAGGCTGTAACATTTTTTTAAATGACGTGCCCTCCTAAAACTGGTTATATTCTCCAGTTCTGTTTGTGATATTAAGATTGTAACAACGACAGTGTATTTATATATACTTTTTAAGGAAAAGTCAAGGACGGAGGGGGGCATGACTTAAAAAATGGCAGAGTAATATATTTTTTTAAGTTCATGAGCACTCCAAATGACTACTTTAGCGGTTCTAGTGTTAATGGCTATTTTTTATGTTTAGTGTTACGGTAAATCTGTGTATAATTTCCCCATAGTTCAATTCTATTAGTAAAAGTTAAGCCTGAGATGATCTTCTTGTTAGGTGGGCCTTTGGCACAGTAAGAAAAGAAAGCCACTGTATGCCCAATTTTAAATAATTTTAATGAACAGGGATTTTAATAAATCTCTCTGCTGCAGGTGTGACCTGTGTGGACGCTCATACCGCCATGCTGGCTCCCTGCTCAACCATAAAAAGACGCACTCCGAAAACCTCCACCACTGTACCTTGTGCCTCCAGACTTTCCCTGACCCCCTCGCCCTCCAGATCCACTCCCAGATGAAGCGCCACTGCTGCCCAGACTGTGGCAAGACCTTCTGTCTCATCTCGCACCTCCAGAACCACATGGAGGTGCACTCCAAGGACCGCACCCTGGTCTGCAGCCCCTGCCATCAGAGCTTCCCCAACCCAGCCAGGTACCAACAACACCAGGACCTGCACCACCGGGCCCAGGGGCATTATCAACAACACAACATGCAAATGGAGGATGACCTAGGCTGGGACTCGGGACTAGACCGAACCATGGGGATCCAAGGCATGCCCAAGCTGATACCGGCGTTTGCCCACATGCACGGCGGCATGCCCAACCCACAGGACCAGCAGGAGAGCAACGAGGCTCACGGCACAGGGGAGAAGAGCCATGTATGTGAGCACTGCGGCCGCACCTACCGCCATGCCGGTTCCCTCCTCAACCATAAGAACAGCCACAAGACAGGCTCCTTCTTCTGCTCCGTGTGCCAGAAGGAGTTCACCAACCTGATGGCGCTGAAGAACCACCGGCGCATCCACACTGAGCCCAAGCGCTACCAGTGCCTGGAGTGCGGCAAGGCCTTCCGCGTGTCCACCCAGCTCATCTGCCACCGGAGGATCCACACCAAAGAGAAGCCCTTCTCCTGCTTGTTGTGCGACAAGCGCTTCTCCAGCAAGTCAAACCTGCGCCACCACCAGAAGATGCACCAGAGTGGTGGCCAGGCCTACGAGTCCTCCTTCGGCATGGATGCTAACAGTTTTATGGATTTGGACATGGGCTCTTTTCTCTGAGTCAGGACTCAGAGAAGAGTGGTTTTCTTCATTTTAGAGAAAGTGTCAAATAGTTATTATATTATTCCCCCCATCCACTGGGCACCTATCAGTAATTGTGAAGTGGCGTGTTCCACAAAGCCCAAGTAGAGACAGCGTTTAGTCTTGATGTTGAACTCTTCAAAGCTGCCTCACAAACATTTAATTTTTCAGATTATGCTTTGGTCATACACTTTTGGACTGGTAGAAGGATTTCTGATCTTACCTCGAGCAGGGATTGTGGCACTGTAAAAATACCCAGACCGGCACAGGCGAGTGTCTGTCAAATCTTTTATAGGATGGAATGTTTTCCCATGGAGTACACAGTCATTTAATCGTTTGACGCTATAGGAGTGAGAACTATTGAACCTCCTTCCATACTGACTGTATCAATGTCCTCCTCACAAGTTAGACTCCAGTCAATTTCCCAACCAAAGCGAACCGATGTAACAGAACTGCTTCAGCCCAGTTCCTGCATGTGAGCTTGATTCACACATGAATTACTCATATTTTTATGAGAAAAGTGCTGTTCTGAAATTGTAATTTCCTCTCGCTATCTATTACTGTGTTCAGTGCCTCCGTAGGTTCATTTCTCTGCTGTGCTTATCAAAAGTGCGGTCTGTTCTCAATATTGCCATAGGTTAGAGAGAAGTGGTTGATTTGACCTTTTGATGTGGCTTCAATAAGGACAACCCTGTCCGGGAGATGACCTCTAGGCTTACCCAGAGGATGATATCAAAGGTATTTACTGAAATCATGTAATCAAGTAAATGGTTTTAGTAATGATGATATTTGGGTTCACCTTTGAGTGACATTGTATGCTAAATGGACATATTTAATTATTTATTTATGTTATTTTTGATTTATTTTCTATTTTTCTGTGTATACTTTGATATATCACAGTTTCTATGAATGATACCTTGACTCTTAAGAAATATCCTATGTAGCGTTTAAGGAAATTCTTCAATCTGTAATTCCATTATTCTCAATTAGTGCGACTCCAACACAGGTAGGAATGCATTAGCCAAGGACAGTGGTCTTGCCAGCACTGTGGTTTTGCCACACAGAAAATATCTGATGTGCAAAGCATTGTAGATAATTATCAATGTCGGAGTTGGGCATGACTTTATTTTTACAGGTGCCATTTCTCACCCATGTCTTGTTCAAATAAGAATTGTAGGTTTTGTTGTCCATAATCCCCCTCAACAATTTTCATACGTTGCAAACCCTTAAAATACGATACACATGCTTTTGACTTCTCAAACTTTCAAAGGTATGTTTGCGTCAGTCCGTAAAATGAAAGTCAAAAGTGTAGAATTATCGTGTTGTGAAAGCCTACTTTATACTTATAATACAAAGTATTTATTTCTGTCTTATTTTAATGGTTATTGTATTTCTGTTAATGTTTCATAATGGATTCTTTTTAACTTTGAAAAGGTAGAGATGAATCTACAGAATTTTGTTTTACCACTCATCTAACACAAGCTCCAGTGTTCAAACTTGTCAACATTGTTGGTTGCTTCAACCATGTTGACAGCAACGTGTATCCAGAAGCGCATGTTGATCACCACTATTTGAGAAATGGTTTGGTGTCTTTGGAAAAAGCAATTTGTGGTCATATAACCTTTACATAAATGTGCAATTAAGTTAAATCTAGGATTTATCTTAGGTTTACAATGCCTACCAGAAAAGGTGTAGAAAAAAATAAGGTGCCTATCATGTACAAAACAGTGCATCTTTTCAGTAACACTGTAATGGCAATTTTTGGGGGGAAAACACAAGTAGGAAGCGGAGATCCTTTAGGTTTAAAACCGCAGAGGGCCTTGTTTGAAGGTGTGGGCCCCAGTACATCATGAAATGTATAACTGACACCACAATGTGTTTTTCTTGGTTTTCTTTATGTCATAGCCTATATGTATTTAATATACACTATATAAAGTGTATTCGGAAAGTATTCTGACCGCTTGATTTTTTTCCACATTTTATGTTACAGCCTTATTCTAAAATGGATTAAGTAGCCTTTTTACTCATTAATCTACAACCAATACCCCAAAAAAACAAAAAAAAACTAATTTACATAGTATTTGATCCCCTGCTGATTTTGTACGTTTGCCCACTGACAAAGACATGATCAGTCTATAATTTTAATGGTAGGTTTATTTGAACAGTGAGAGACAGAATAACAACAACAAAAATCCAGAAAAACGCATGTCAAAAATGTTAAATTGATTTGCATTTTAATGAGGGAAATAAGTATTTGACCCCTCTGCAAAACATGACTTAGTACTTGGTGGCAAACCCCTTGTTGGCAATCACAGAGGTCAGACGTTTCTTGTAGTTGGCCACCAGGTTTGCACACATCTCAGGAGGGATTTTGTCCCACTCCTCTTTGCAGATCTTCTCCAAGTCATTAAGGTTTCGAGGCTGATGTTTGGCAACTCAAACCTTCAGCTCCCTCCACAGATTTTCTATGTGATTAAGGTCTGGAGACTGGCTAGGCCACTCCAGTACCTTAATGTGCTTCTTCTTGAGCCACTCCTTTGTTGCCTTGGCCGTGTGTTTTGGGTCATTGTCATGCTGGAATACCCATCCACAACCCATTTTCAATGCCCTGGCTGAGGGAAGGAGGTTCTCACCCAAGATTTGACGGTACATGGCCCCGTCCATCGTCCCTTTGATGCGGTGAAGTTGTCCTGTCCCCTTAGCAGAAAAACACCCCCAAAGCATAATGTTTCCACCTCCATGTTTGACGGTGGGGATGGTGTTCTTGGGGTCATAGGCAGCATTCCTCCTCCTCCAAACACGGCGAGTTGGGTTGATGCCAAAGAGCTCCATTTTGGTCTCATCTGACCACAACACTTTCACCCAGTTCTCCCCTGAATCATTCAGATGTTCATTGGCAAACTTCAGACGGCCCTGTATATGTGCTTTCTTGAGCAGGGGGACCTTGTGGGCGCTACAGGATTTCAGTCCTTCACGGCGTAGTGTGTTACCAATTGTTTTCTTGGTGACTATGATCCCAGCTGCCTTGAGATCATTGACAAGATCCTCCCGTGTAGTTCTGGGCTGATTCCTCACCGTTCTCATGATCATTGCAACTCCACGAGGTGAGATCTTGCATGGAGCCCCAGGCCGAGGTAGATTGAGTTATTTTGTGTTTCTTCCATTTGCGAATAATCGCACCAACTGTTGTCACCTTCTCACCAAGCTGCTTGGTGATGGTATTTTAGCCCATTCCAGCCTTGTGTAGGTCTACAATCTTGTCCCTGACATCCTTGGAGAGCTCTTTGGTCTTGGCCATGGTGGAGAGTTTGGAATCTGATTGATTGACTGCTTCTGTGGACAGGTGTCTTTTATACAGGTAACAAGCTGAGATTAGGAGCACTCCCTTTAAGAGTGTGCTCCTAATCTCAGCTCGTTACCTGTATAAAAGACACCTGGGAGCCAGAAATCTTTCTGATTGAGAGGGGGTCAAATACTTATTTCCCTCATTAAAATGCAAATCAATTTATAACATTTTTGACATGCGTTTTTCTGGATTTTGTTGTTGTTATTGTCTCTCACTGTTAAAATAAACCTACCATTAAAAGTATAGACTGATCATTTCTTTGTCAGTGGGCAAACGTACAAAATCAGCAGGGGATCAAATACTTTTTTCCCTCACTGTAGGTATTCAGACCCTTTTACTCAGTACTTTGTTGAAGCACCTTTGGCAGTGATTACAACCACGTCTTCTTTGGTATGACGTTACAAGCTTGGCACACTTGTATTTGGGGAGTTTCTTGCATTCTTCTCTGCAGATCCTCTCAAGCTCTGTCAGGTTGGATGGGGAGCGTTGCTGCACAGCTATTTTCAGGTCTCTCTAGAGATGTTAGATCGGATTCAAGTCCGGGCTCTGGCTGGACCACTCAAGGACATTCAGAGACTTGTCCCAAAGACACTCCTGCGTTGTATTGGCTGTGTGCTTAGGGTCGTTGTCCTGTTGGAAGGTGAACCTCGCCCCAGTCTGAGGTCCTGAGCGATCTGGAGCAGGTTTTCATCAAGGATCTCTCTGTACTTCGCTCCGATCCTGACTAGTCTCCCAGTCCCTGCCGCTGAAAAACATCCCCACAGCATGATGTTGCCACCATGTTTCACCGTAGGGATGGTGCCAGGTTTCCTCCAGACGTGATGCTTGGAATTCAGGTTAGAGTTCAATCTTCATTTCATCAGACCAGAGAATCTTGTTTCTCATGGTCTGAGAGTCTTTAGGTGCCTTTTGGCAAACTCCAAGCGGGCTGTCGTGTGCCTTTTCACTAAGGAGTGGCTTCCGTCTAGCCACTCTACCATAAAGCACGGATTGGTGGAGTGCTGCAGAGATGGTTGTCCTTCTGGAAGGTTCTCCCATCTCCACAGAGGAACTCTAGAGCTCTGTCAGAGTGACCATTGGGTTCTTGGTCACCTCCCTGACCAAGGCCCTTCTCCCCCGATTGCTCAGTTTGGCCGGGTGGCCAGCTCTAGGAAGAGTCTTGGTGGTTCCAAACTTCTTCCATTTAAGAATGATGGAGGCCACTGTGTTCTTGGGGACCTTCAATGCTGCAGACATTTTTTGGTACCCTTCCCCAGATCTGTGCCTCGACACAATCCTATCTTGGAGCTCTACGGACAATTCCTTCGACCTCATGGCTTGTTTTTTGCTCTGACATGCACTGTCAACTGTGGGACCTGATATAGACAGGTGTGTGCCTTTCCAAATCATGTCCAATCAATTGAATTGACCACAGGTGGACTCCAATCAAGTTGTAGAAACATCTCAAGGATGATCAATGGAAACAGGATCCACCTGAGCTCAATTTCGAGTCTGAGCAAAGGGTCTAAATACTAAATAAGATATTTCTGTTTTCATTTTGTCATTATGGAGTATTGTGTGTGTAGATTTGCTGAGGATCATTTATTTAATCCATTTCAGAATAAGGCTGTAACGTAACAAAGTGGAAAAAGTG